ACACGGTACACCGTTTCAACCAACACAGTCCACAGTTTCAACCAACACAGTACACTGTTTCAACCAACACGGTACACCGTTTCAACCAACACAGTCCACAGTTTCAACCAACACAGTCCACCGTTTCAACCAACACAGTACACCGTTTCAACCAACACGGTACACCGTTTCAACCAACACAGTCCACAGTTTCAACCAACACAGTCCACAGTTTCAACCAACACAGTACACTGTTTCAACCAACACAGTCCACAGTTTTCAACCAACACAGTCCACAGTTTCAACCAACACCGTACACCGTTTCAACCAACACAGTCCACAGTTTTAACCAACACAGTACACAGTTTCAACCAACACAGTCCACAGTTTCAACCAACACAGTCCACAGTTTGAACCAACACAGCCCACAGTTTGAACCAACACAGTCCACAGTTTGAACCAACACAGTCCACAGTTTCAACCAACACAGTACACCATTTCAACCAACACAGTACACTGTTTCAACCAACACAGTCCAGTTTTAACTAACACAGTCCAGTTTTAACCAACACAGTCCACAGTTTCAACCAACACATTGCACAGTTTCAACCAACACAGTACACAGTTTCAACCAACACAGTCCAGTTTCAACCAACACAGTACACAGTTTCAACCAACACAGCCCACAGTTTTAAACAACACAGTCCACAGTTCCAACCAACACATCGCACAGTTTCAACCAACACAGCCCACAGTTTTAACCAACACAGTCCAGTTTTAACCAAAGCAGTCTACAGTTTCAACCAACACAGTCCACAGTTTTAACCAACACAGTCCAGTTTTAAACAACACATTGCACAGTTTCAACCAACACAGTCCACAGTTTCAACCAACACATTGCACGGTTTCAACCAACACAGTCCACAGTTTTAACCAACACAGTCCACAGTTTTAACCAACACAGCCCACAGTTTTAAACAACGCAGTCCACAGTTCCAACCAACACAGTCCACAGTTTTAACCAACACAGCCCACAGTTTCAACCAACACAGCCCACAGTTTTAACCAACACAGTCCACAGTTTCAACCAACACAGTCCACAGTTTCAACCAACACAGTCCAGTTTTAAACAACACAGTCCACAGTTTCAACCAACACAGTCCACAGTTTCAACCAACACAGTCCAGTTTTAAACAACACATTGCACAGTTTCAACCAACACAGTCCACAGTTTCAACCAACACATTGCACAGTTTCAACCAACACAGTCCACAGTTTTAACCAACACAGTCCACAGTTTTAACCAACACAGTCCAAAGTTTCAACCAACACAGTCCACAATTTTAAATAACATCGTCCACAATTTTAACCAAGGCAGACTCAACTTCTTCAGATACTCTGTTTTTACTCTATAGAGACAGTCTGTAGTAACCTGTGTGTTGTATAGATATGTGTATGTACAGATATTTATCTATAAACCAGCAGACAGGTTTCCTAAATGGCCAGATTTTCGGTAATAGGCTGTAAGTGTGGCTCACCTGTTGATTCTTTCCTGATTGTGTTGCTCCTTTGAACAGATTCACTGCGCATTTACTGTCCCACAGTTTTGATGAAGTGAAAATGAAAGCTTGCTGATAGTGAGGTGAGATAACAAGGTGCAGGTAGCTACACATTGTTCTGCTCATACAGGCCACCATTATGGTCGGAGCAAGAATTGCTATAAGGAACCGGGAAGGCTAGAACTGGCCCTGGACATTTTTTTAGGACACAAAAACTCTTTTGTCCACAGATTATTAATGAAGTTTCACTTTACCCATGGAGTCTATTTCTTCTATAAGTGTGCCTATTTCCCCCTTAGCTGCTCGTACTGGAGCTTCACAAACCTTTAGTAAGGTAGTGCCAAACATAAGGTACAGCCAAACGGAACGCACATTACAGTGTTAACGGGTGGAGTTCATGGAGATGATGATACAGACGTGCTCAGAGATCACAGTTTGATGCCCAAAAGGTTTTTACTGTGTTGCGTATCAACAGAGTGTTCAGAGAGTCAGTGTTGTGTTTTAAAACTACTGCATTAGCGTCCTACAGCTCAAGATCAACATCAAGTGTAAACACTGATGAGTTTAAAAGCCTGATCTCACCATAATTAACATCATTACACCAAATTTCAGCTACTTTATACCATCCATTTCATATTTAGACAGCAACACATACACATTTCAGCACTACTGAATCAGATCAGTGCAGTAAATGAAGAGTAAATAATAAGTCACAGTGACCAGAGCTGGCAGGAAGTGAAGGTCAGTGTGCAGGTCACTGTGTCCAGATGATAAAGATGACTTTCAGTGATTTTTTCTTTGTTAAATCTGATTCTGTTGTTGATCAGATTCAGGGTCTAGTATCACTTTTCTCTGAAGCTCTGTGTGCTGGCGGTCAGTATCATCATAAAGCTGTTTAACCGGTTTCTCCAGGTAACACACTCAGTTAAAATATGTTCCTCTAAACTGACACATGTATATGATCAACAGATGACTGTGGAGTTTCATCACAATAACAGAGTTAATGAATTTATTAAGATCCCTCTGTCCAGCCAGTAACAACCCCCCACCAATTAGAGCCCAGCTGTTATTCAAACTGGCCACCAAAATGGGTGCTAAACAAAATCACTCACACAAAGATTTCTGACAGCTTGAGATTATTTTTGAGATTAAAACAATTAACCTCATTAGTGAGATTATTTCTTAAGATTATTATTGTTGAGATTTTATTACAATTATTATAGAAATTAGAAATTACTTTGATATTATTATTGTTATTATTGAGATTGTGATTAAAATTATTATAGAGATCAGCGTTGATATTATTGTTATTGTTATTATTGAGACGTCTAATAGAGTGGGCAGTGAGTGGACACAGTATTTAAAAACTCCAGCAGCACTGCTGTGTCTGATCCACTCACACCAGCACCACCTCAGTGTCACTGCAGTGCTGAGAATGGTGGGTTGGGGTGCTAAGGGGGGTGCTAGGTGATGCTGAAGTGCCCCATGAAAATAGTTCAGCACCCACTAGTACCCCTGAAACATTCTTACAGCCCAGTTCATATTTGACATTATAAACATAATTAGGCTATCAGTTCATAACTTGATTCCTCTTTCCACAAAGCTCACATGTTCACAAGTACAAGTCTGAAAATCTCAGCAGATCACAGATATAAGATCAGCTCTTAATCACAGCATCACACAGAACACTCTAAAACTCTGATCTTCAGTCAGACACTAACAAAGCAGGAGTCTACAGACAAAGTAGTCCTCAATGAAATCGAATTATTTCAGATTTTCCACTATTTTCCATCATCAACATTCCATATAAACTCAGAAGACTCGTGTAGGTTCACTGGTGGTTCTGGATAGTAAATAAAATGTCTATATTGTGTTGTAGTCATGGCGACCCCTGGTTCCTATCACCACCACTGTAAAGAAATCTAAACCATTTCACACCAAACCACGCTGACTGACTCTGTTTACATCTCACACCCTCAATCATGGGGGAATTTTTAAAAAACTGGTGGAATTGCCCTTTAACACACAGGTAGCCTGCAGGGGGAGCCCTGGATCTGCATGCCCACTGTGAAGGAGTTTGACCATCAGAGGGCGCTACAGCATTAAAATAACTAAACAAAAGCTGCTACATCTCAGACTGCTGTTTCAGATTAAAGATAAAGTTGTGTAAGATGTGGTCAGTGAGGTGTTGTAGTGTAAGATGTGGTCAATGGTTTGTCTCTTATTGTTTGGTCTTCAAAATGGATCATACAGAAAACTGAAAGTGGACACTGCTGTCTCTGGTTTTTCTTTAGCTCAGTTCACATCAATATGTCAGTGTTCTTGGTGTTTCCTGGTACTGACCTTGTTCTTCTCTTCTGACCAAAGCTGAGACTTAATGGAGGCAGCATTGATCAGCGTTGGGATAGTTTATTTTTAAATAAAACAACAGGTCAAAAATAAGAAATACATCACGACACCTAGAGACAATATTTCCAGAGAAAATGAAAATCTGTTTAAAAAAAAAGTTTATGATGCTCAGAAGCTTAATTCCATCAAACTGACATTTAGTAATAAAAATGCTGTGCCTAATGATGTCATTCTCTCTGTCGCTCCACCACACTCTTTGGGTTTGTTTGTGAGGGAAATCTGTCGTATCAAACCAAAATCATGTGTAAATTCATAATTGATTTTATGATTGATTGAAGTTTCCAGTAAAAGTTTTTTTTTAATTTTTTTTATTGCATTTCTCACAATGGGGAGGGGGTGAAGGTTAGTAGATCAGGTTGGTGAAGTGCTGTGTTCACTGTACTAATAAGTTTTAACAATGTTTTTTTAAGATATTCACAAACAAGTGTGTCAACATTCATAAAATATTACTGACAACTTCTGTTTCCATAGCCTAAAACAACAAACTGTTTAAAGCATTCAAATATTTAGATGCTTGTTTAACCTACATTAAATATCTATTAAATTCACCTTAATTTCCACTAATCCTGATCCTCCAACAGGGTTGAGAATCAGCAGGTGGTTTGTTATCGGTTTGAACATCTGTAGATAAGTGATAGAGGGCTGTCCAAATACAGTGAAACCAAAATGTATATAAAAATATAATATAAAATTCTTTGGTAGAAAAAGCAGGAATAGCAGCTGATGACTCAAGGCCCGTGACCAGTGAAAGGCTCCTGATAAGGTCTAAGTCGAGATTCTGAATGAGAATTCTATTATGGCTGAATAGTGGTAATGATAGGGGCCTTCAGCTGAGAATGAGACGACTATAATAAAATAAAATGTTATATAAAATTTCTACATTACAGAAAAATGAAAGATAAAAAAGAAAAAAACAACGGAGGAGATGGATCAGTGAGGATCTCTAAGAGTTTCTGGTCATTGTTGGAGGATGAAAGGCTCTTCACTTCTGGACTGTGGTGACTGAGGTCAATCATTTAAACTCTTTATCCATCATTCCTTCTTCATCTGAGGCTACTGAATTTGTCTCCTCAGCAGCTTAATATCTTTCACTGCTAATCCCACAATCACAGCTACAAGTACAGAAATCAGTACAATCACCCAGGCTGGTAAAGCAGCTCTTTTGTCTGTGTCCAGATCTAGATGGTCATCTACAAAACACACACAGGTTTGTAATACAGTGTGTTTAACTAAACACCATCATTAAAGCTCAGCAGCAGATTCCTGATCAGTGAACTCTGATTGAACTGAAGAAATCATGTATTAAAAACATACCCTTCACTACATCACTTCCGCCTGCTGACCCCACGGTCACTGTGTAGATGTGAATGGCCTCTTCATTCCTGGCATCCATTACAGTATAAACTCCACTGTCAGACGGAGTCACTGCTCTCAGCTGAAGAACAGCCGATACTCTGTGTTTATATTCAAGTTTACACTGTAGTGACCGTATTATCACTGTGCACATCTGACCACTGGACGGTCCACCTGAACCTGTACTGCTATAAAGCACCTCCATTTCCTCTGGTATGTCCAAATCCAGCACCAGGGATCCACCAGGCTTTATCTGAACTGTAGTGTTCAGGGCTGAGGAGAAAAACAAACAAGAGCTTCATTATTCACAGTATCAGCCACAGAAACACACGCCTGGTTATTGGACACTATGCTGGACACAACTACACAACTATGGTGATTTTGTCAGGTGCGTTCTTCTGCATTATTCTTTATGAGTCTGAAACACACACAACACATATTTATGGATATCTATCCATCTATCTAACTACAGAAACACACACAACACATATTTCTGTCTATCTATCCATCTATCTAACTACATATATATATATATATATATATATATATATATATATATATATATATATATATATATGTAGTTAGATAGATGGATAGATAGACAGATAGACAGCGACAAACACCCAAGATTCTCTGACCACACACAGAAGTCTGGCTTCTGAGACTAGAACCTTATTAACTTTGCACAAATCACTACTAAATCAGGTGTCAGTCAGTAATGGTCAGTTAAGGCCACAAATGGACACTTACGCTCAATTTGAAGACGCACATCACAGATGTCTTTACCATCACAGTCACACATGTACCTCCCTCTCTTACTGAAATCAGCGTCAGTGATGGTGAGAGAGAGATTCCCCTTCAGGTACTGATCATGGATCATCTGATATCCCTCCTTCACTGATCTACATGAAGTCTGATCACACTCAGCCAGAGCATCAGTGGGTTTATGGAACACAGTCCATCTGACCAAACCAGAGCATCTCTCATAGCAGGACAGAGTAGCAGAGTCATGAAGCTTCACCTTCACTGGACCAACAGCTGATTTAGACACTGGAAGAGAGAATAAGTGGATAAAAATGAACATATAATGAAAACTGATCAACACAAGTGTCTCTTTGTTAGAATAGTGCATTATTACTGTCAGCAATAAGATAAAATTTTAAGATCCAGCATAGCTAAAAGCTGCCTCAAACACCAAACAGAAATATAAAGTCTTTTAATAAGATGGTAAAGTGGTGACAGTGCAGTTCTTACCAGTAGTCACTGTAGAGATCAGTAAGATCAGGATACAGAGAGCAGAACTGCAGGACTGCATGACTGACCTACAGACACACACACACACCATCAGTACTGACCAGGAGAGGAGAGAGACAAGAGAGAAAGAGAGAACAGAACTGACCTACAGACACACACACCATCAGTACTGACCAGGAGAGGAGAGAACAGTTATTCAGCAAACATCAAACAGAAACAATAGGAATTACAATAAGGATCATATTCTCATTACAATGTACACAATCACAGCCTTAAATATTGGAAACTGCACAGCAAAAAATGGTATCTTCACAAGTAAAAACATCTCAAATGTAGTCATGGCCATAACTTGCTATTAGGACACTGAGTTCTGGACTTCGGTAGTTTCAGAAGAATTTTTTCACTTTCCAACATGGGGGAACGTTGCAGTGCCATATAGATGGCAGGACATGGCAGGGAGGTCCTTGGCAGCATGGACCCCTGCAGCAGAAACTGGCTCTTGGGGAAGGAGCCTGAGCTCATGTGGGAGGTTAAGAGGTACCTCCCAGATATAGTTGGGCTCACCTCCACCCACAGTGTTGGCTCTGGTTGGAGTTTGTCCTGGTGGATAAGAGGCTTACATCAATGTGAATTAATATCATAAGGTGGAAAACTCTGACTGATGTGTGTGCTAATGCACCAAACAACAGTTTGAAGTTCGGCCTTCTTGGAGCAAGTGGGCAGGGTTCTGGAAAGGGCCCCTTCTACAGACTCCATATTCTTGCTGGGAGACTTAAATGCTCATGTTGGCAATGACTGGGAGACCTGGATGGGGGCGATTGGGAAAAACGGCCTGCCCGATCTAAACTCAAATGGGTGAATTCTCATTGTCAATTCTGACAATTCTGTGCTAGGCATGGATTGTCCACAACAAACAGTAAGTTAGAACATGAAGGATGTTCATAAGTTTATGTGGTATCAGAGCACCTTGGGTCAAAGGTCAATGATCGACTTTGTTGTTGTTTCATCTGACTTGGGTCCATATGTTTTGGACACTCAGGTGAAGAGAGGTGCTGAGTTGTCAACCGATCATCATCTGGTGGTGAGTTGGATTAGATGGCAGGGATGGCTGATGGTCAGACCTGGTAGGCTCAAAGGAATAGCGGTAACGTAGACGCCCTTGTTCAGAATGATTTTAACTCCCACCTCCGGGAATGGACCCTGTTCAAAACCTCCATTGTGGAGGCTGCCAGGCGTAGCTGTGGCCTAAAGCTTCTTGGTGCCTTTCAGGGCGGTAACGCAAGAACCCTATATGGTGGCCCCTATTTTTAAGAAAGGGGGCCGGAGGGTGTGAGCCAACTACCAGGGTAGTGAGGTGTATTTAGAAGAGTGCTTTTATAAAATAAGGTAAAAACACTCTTAACCTTCAGTATAAGTTGATATTGTAGTGTCTGAAGTTCTCTGTGGTATCTGTTTTTACAGGTTTGGAATGTTTAAGTTAAGGGGGGCCCTGGTCCAAAGGCCCCCATAGGGAGTGGGCCTCTCACTTTCTCTCTTCTTCTCTAAATTCCAAATAGAGATCCTTTTAATATAATTTATTAAGATCACTTTATTGAGATGATATCTACTATTTTGTTCTGTCTCCTTTCTCAACAACAAGCAGCCTCAGTTGGGATATTCTGTGCTGGAGGTGACACTTTAGAATTGGCACGGTTCCTCTCTCAGGTACTGTATAGTGCTTGATATGATAGTGTTTCACTTTGGAATAAACATCTTATACAAGGAAGATGGTGTCAGCTGAGTCTCCTTCATCATCTTCACATCATCGCTATTTAAATAAACAACAGTAGCACACCGTTCAGCGTCCTTGGGAAAGTTTCTGCCAAGGTGCTGGAAAGGATAATTCGACCAGCAGTTGAACCTCAGATTGAGGAGGAACAATGCGGATTCCATCCCAGCCATGGAACAATGGACCAGCTTTTCACCCTCACGCAGGTTGTTGAGGGGTTGTGGGATTTTGCCAACCCAGTCTACCTGTGTTTCATGGACTTGGAGAATGCTTACAATTGCCATTGTGAAACTATACATTATCATCTTACAGCTGAAAGTCAGCATAAAGTCCTGACTAGGAAACCAGACACCACCAGTATTGCTATCTTATTGATATCGTACCACATTTCAGCTACTTTTTATCATCCAGTTTATATTTAGACAGTAAATCATCATCATTTCAGCACTCCTGAATCAGATCAGTGCAGTGAAATGAAGAGTAAATAATAACTCACAGTGACCAAAGCTGGCAGGAAGTGAAGGTCAGTGAGCAGGTCGCTCTGTCCAGATGATAAAGATGAGTTTCAGTGAGTTTCCTCAGTAAATGTGACTCGGTTGTTGGAGTTTGATCACAGTTTGTAGTGCAGGCTCAGTGTCTTCTATCAGATCTAGCTCATGTGAAACTGTCTGCTGGCTCATAACTGTGGTTTAAATGGCTTTTCCAGTAAACAGACTGGAAGTTAGACTGATTTCACTTCCTCTAACACATACAGTTAAGAGAATTCTGTGGAGTGTCACAGGAAGCAGAGTTAGTAACTTATTAAGATCACTTTATTGAGATGATCTACTATTTTAATAATTGAAATCAGAATTAATATGATTATTAGTATTAGTAGAAGTAGTAGTAGAAGAAGTAGTAGTACTAGGTGTAGTAGTAATAGTGTTAGCAGAAGAAGACGTGTAGGTTCACTGGTGGTTTTGGAAGGTGAATAAAATGGCAATATCTGTGTTGTGGTCACTGGTGACCCCAGGGGCATGTTTTGCTAAGGTTTCCAGGTTGAACGACATGTTTAGTCTAAACGTTGTTAAATGGTGTGTAACAGGCTTTGAGGTACATTTCTTTGGATTGATCAGCATGTCAGAGCTGTTACCCCATCAGCAGCACCGTGTGTATAAATCCTGCAGTATTAAAAAGGCTCTGTTAGGCCTACATTCCTGCTGCATCACTGAAGTGGTCTCCGCTCCTCAACCACTACATTTATCATTTGCTGGACCATCACCTGCCTCTGCTCCAGCACCAATCTCCAAACCCCAACCCCCTGCAAATGTTCATTCCTCTTTCCTAACACAATTTTAGCATTGATATGTTTTCCATGACTAATCTATTCAATGTTTGATGTAGATACAAAGCCATGGACACATGAAACAACCTTGCTTCTAATTAGACTAACAAAGCAAATGGCCCAATTCTTTCAATTTCCCTTGTTAAAGACTGTAGAAGTGGTATCTGTGGAAATGCTGGTTAAAGGATACAACTTTGGAGCAGAGGCATCTAAAAATGATCACAGGCAATTGAAACAGAGGTTGGTTTTGGTGCTGACATTAGCATTTTTTGGGAATAGAGAAACTTGAGGACATTTGCTACATCTGTGTTTTTATTCTTAGATACAAAACAATATTGGACAACAAGAAGAAGATAGGGAGTGGTGCCAACAGCTGGGTCTTCTTCGCCTCAATAGAGGACCTCCTGGCTGATGATCCCAGCATGGAGCTGGTCCAGATTGTGTCCTTATCATCTTTTCTGTCATTTGATATTATTAATTAAGTGGATTTTGTTAAAACCTCGTCAGCATGAATTAGTACAACAGAGGAGATGCGAGTCTTCGGTAAATGGAAATGGATGGGTGAAGTAGCTTTACTCATGACTCTCTAACAGTATGCAAACATGTTCAAGTCCATGTGAAAACGACAAAATGTACTTGTTGGAGGAAAGTGATGTTTGTCCATGTTAGTCCACATCTGAAGCGCCCCAGCAGTTTGGGCAGCATGTCACTGAGCAGAGGAGGCAGATATTTATATTAGAGCGTAAAGCAGAACTAAAATGTTCCAAAGCTGCCAGCAGTGATTGTCTAAAGATTAACTGATTCTGTTTAGCGTTTTATAAGGTATGTGACAGTCTCTGTTTGGTTACTGTGCTCATTCATTTCCTCCTTCCAGTCTTCATCAACAGCTGCTGAGTTTCTCTCCTCAGCTGCACAATCATCATTGCTAACATTACAATCACAGCTACAAGTACAGCCATTATTAGGGCAACCAGCCACATTAGTACAGCAGCTCCTTTATCTGTGTCCAGATCTGGATAGTCATCTACAAAACACACACAGATTTGTAATACAGTGAGTTTAACTAAACACCATCATTAAAGCTCAGCAGCAGATTCCTGCTCAGTGAATTCTGATTGGACAGACAGAGATCTTGTAATAACATACCATTTAATTCACTTCCATCTGCTGATCCCACGGTCACTGTGTAGATGTGAATGACCTCGTCAGTCCATTTGTCTATTACAGTGTAGACTCCACTGTCAGATGGAGTCATTCTTCTCAGCCTAACAACAGATGTGAGTGATGCTCTCTGTGTGTATTCAGGCTTACACTGTAGTGAGCGTCCATCCACTGCACAGATCTGACCGCTGGATGGTCCATTTGGGTCTTTATAAATCAAATCCACTGGATCTGATATTTCCATCTTCAGCACTAGAGGCTCACCAGGTTTTATCTGAACTAGAATATTCACAGCTGAGGAGAAAAACAGTCAGGAACATCATTGGTCACTTCACCACCACCATTTGATATCAATAGAAAGCATAAGCTGGCCACAGATATCAAGATTTTGTTGGATGTGTATTGATTGGCTATTCCCTCATCTTTCCCTCATGCAAGCACTTTTTTGTTGGATTGAAAACAGTTTGAGATGTTTTTCAAGTTTTTCTAGAGTTGAAACATTTCTTGAGTTTTCTAGAGTCACTTTGTTTCACACTGGGCTGTATTTGTTGTAGCCCTGTTTATAATATTTTTAACATTTCCTCACACATCACAGAGAAACAGCGCTCTGTGGTTGGTTAATTTGCATGTCAGTCAAATTTCCTTATTCTGTCAAAGTAGGCGGCCGATGTCTGCAAAACACAGAGACTCTGACGACAGGCAGAAGTCTGGCTTGAGAACTCTCCTTAACTCACTGACACCTAAATGGTCATTAAAGAAACTTACGCTCAACCTGAAGCCGCACATCACAGAGATCTGCATCATCACACCAACACGTGTACCAGTCCCTCTGACTGAAATCAGCATCAGCGATGATGAGAGAGAGATCTCCCTTCAGGTACTGATCATGGATCATCTGATATCCCTCCTCTGACCAGCATGAAGTCTGATCACACTCAGCCAGAGCATCAGTAGGTTTATAAAACACAGTCCATCTGACCAAACCAGAGCATCTCTCATGGCAGGGCAGAGTAGCAGAGTCATGAAGCTTCACCTTCACTGTAGGATTACGCGACTCTGAAAGCGAGAATGAAGACATAGAGATAAAATGATGAAGATAACATCTTTATTACTTAGAAAAATAAATGTCAAATTTCTTTAACCAGTTTTCCATTTTGCCTCAATCCATTTTAAATGAGCTTTGGCCCAGAGAAGACGGCAGCATTTCTGGATCGTGTTGACATATGGCTTCTTCTTTGCATGATACAACTTTAACTTGCATTTGTGGATTGTACGGTGAACTGTGTTCACAGATAGTGATTTCTGGAAGTGATTCTGAGCTCATGCAGTGATTTCCAGTGCAGAATCATGTCTTTTTTCAATGCAGTGCCGCCTGAGGGCTCGAAGATCACGAGCATCCAATACTCGGCCTTGTCCCTTGCGTACAGGGATTTCTCCAGATTCTCTGAATCTTTTGATGATATTATGTACTGTAAATGGTGGGATATCCAAAGTCTTCACAATTTTATGTTGAGGAACATTTTTCTGAAATTGTTCCACAATTTTTCTTCTTTCTTTGCTTCTGAGAGACTCTGCCTCTCTAAAATACTCTCTTTATACTCAGTCATGTGAGTTATTTGTAAGTTGCCCCTCCAGCTGTTTTTTATTAGTACTACTTACTTTTCCAGCCTTTTGTTGCCCGTCTCAACTTTTTTGAGATGCGTTGCTGCCATCAAGTTCTAAATGAGTCAATGTTTTTCCTGAAATGGTAAATTGTCTCACCTACAACATCATATATATGTTCTATGTTCTATTATGAATCAAATATAATATTGGCAGATAATTGCATTCTGTTTTTATATACAGTTATTTACATTTTACACAGAATCCCAACTTTTCTGGAATCGGGGTTGTGTATATATATATATATATATATATATATATATATATATATATATATATATATATATATATATATATAATGGTTTAGAATGTTCCAAATGGATTAGCATATCTTACATAAATTGGGATGCTTTTATTAACTTTAATGCACTTAATGTGCTCTGTGTTGCTGTTATTTAATAAAATACATTGGACTGCACTCCTGAAAGATATTATTGATATTAATATTGAAGGATTCCAACCTGAAGTGAAAAACTACATAAGGACAATCGTAAAAGTAATTGTTTTAAATCAGAGTGATCTGTCTGTACTCAGCAGATCATATTACAGTCACAGGTTTCATTATAGAAAACGATTTGTTACGAAGTTATTAAGAATTTCATCGTCAGGCTGTTACTGACAGAAACTCTGCTTCACAAACCAAAGTGAAGGTAAAACTCAGTAAAGTCTTTAACAAGATGATAAAGTAGTGACAGTGCAGTTCTTACCAGTAGTGAATGTAGAGATCAGTAAGATCAGGATACAGAGAGCAGAACTGCAGGACTGCATGACTGACCTACAGACACAGTACACTATCAGTTCATGCCATCTTGTTCATTGATTACAGCAGATTGTTTACAGTAACATTCTTCAGTAATTAATGTGTAATGTTGGTTATTCGTCATACATGATGATAATGCTCAGCAGTGCTAACATGTGCCGGTTCTGTGCTATTATACAGATTATACATACATAAGATTATAATAATATTTAAACATGCTAATAGGCTACTACTGTTTAAATATGCTTGTACATGATGAGTGCAGCCACATGTCATGTGAAGTCTGTGTGCTTATGGTGTGGTGGTCACTTGGTCATTCAATCCCACCTACATTTAAAATGCTACTGTAAATAATCGCCTCTGTTACTGAATGTTTTTCAATAATATTTGTAGGTCACTCTGTTGTTTACAGCAGTGGTTTCTAAACCTGGGTTAATCCCTTAAATGGCCAGGGCCCAAAGTGTTATTACACCATTCTATAACGTAAAAATAAATAAGTTTGCATTGAAATCCCTGTAGTTACTGAATAATAAGCCTTGCTGGGTAACAATCCTTGGATTTTAAGGAGTTGATTGTAGGGGGGCGTGGAGTGGCTGCAGAAGAGAAGGACTACATTTTTGAATATGACTCACCTGATGATACCAGACTGTCTGCTCACTAAAAGAGTGAGTGAAAAAAATTCAAAATATAGAGACGCTGGGTTTCTACTGAGCTTCCTTTACAGACTTATCTGCAAATATACAGATGTTCACGTATCTCTTTAGCTCCTTTAATATTGACTCTGTAATTCTCTTTATTATTTATTGTGTTTATTCTGTTTAATGTTAATAGTGCCTTAGTTAAACACTGTTAACAGTCAGTGTGCTTGTCTGGTCTGTTCAGTGTGTTAAAAATCATACATGTGTGATTCACCAGCACTGATTCCTTTTATGTGTAACATGTTTCTACTTGTGAACACTGAGTATCGCAGTACTACAGCGTCTTCAGGTTTGACAGAAGTTTATATAACAGCACCATCTACTGGACAAAACTGCATTCATGTCCTACACTGATTCTCTGAAACAGGATGGCTGAAGAAAACAAACCAGAAACAATAATATTATTTCAGTATAATAATGTATTTGATATTTCTATGTGATGTGTTTGAATGATGGAGCTGCTCAATAATATATTTCTCATGGTGCTTCATCAGATCTGCTTCAACAACAGGAACTTTCCATGAGTTTGGTTTGTGTCCCATCATCTTTTTAGAAGCAATAAGATGAAAAAAAGTCATTTTTTATTTCTGTGAAATCTTTAACTTAAAATGATTAAAATTAGCATTTAAATGATCATAAAAACATACAATATCTGTATCCACCTTTAATATGGTGATTTCAGGCTGTCTCACCTCATTGACACTGAACTTCTCTAATATATTCAATCAAGTCTCCTGTAATTAACATAATTACTCTTTTATTTGGTTCATTTTCATCAATTTAATGTTAAAGAATGATTTTCCCCATTAATTTATATAATTTAACAAAACACTGCTGACGGAAGAAAACCTCATATCTCCAAAATGGTAACTTTACAGGAGAAGGAAAAAAACCTTCTACACTTTTAATGGAAGTCAATGGAACCAGACCTTTTTTGGCCATCATTTTGGGCTGTTTCTTTTGGTCAGTTCATCATGAAATTTACACACAATGTAAAGAACAACAGGCATTTTCAGATTATGTCAAAAACTCAAGAACGACAAAAATGGACATACAAGGTTTTCTTCTGACGGCAGCGAAAAAAAAAAACATTTTAACGAGTGTCCCACGTTTTCTGCACAACCTGTTCTAATGAAATAGTCCCTACCGAAACAGTCACTACTGAAACAGTCACTACTGAAACATTCGGTTTGTTAGTGTTATGATTGTTTTGGTAGAGGCAAAATGAAATGATCAGTCATTTATTTTCATAAAAAATAAACATAATTAAGGTAAAGACTCACTCAGAGCAACATGATTTCATCTCTAAAGTCCAAGATCAGTTAAAAGTCCCAAATATGTTTTCAGCTCTGAGTTTGAACCATTTATGGAGATGATCCATATTAAAGACTTCATCTACATCGATTAGCACAGGAGGATTTACATACATGCTTCACTCTGAGATCACAGTATGACACCAGAAAGGTTTTTCATGAAGAGCTCAGAGATTCACGACTGTGTAGTTGTGAAACTACAACACTGTCATCATACAGGTCAACATCAAATACATACAGATTAAAAACAGTAAATCATCATCGTTTCAGCTCTACTGAATCAGATCAGTGCAGTAAATGAGGAGTAAACAATAACTCACAGTGACCAAAGCTGGCAGGAAGTGAAGGTCAGTGTGCAGGTCACTCTGTCCAGATGATAAAGATGAGTTTCAGTGAGTTTCCTCAGTAAATATGAATTTGTTGTTGAGTCTGATCTCAGGTTGCAGGTTCAGTGTTGTCTATCAGTTTTCTCTGATGTGAAGTGACGCAGGTTGGACCTCTGCAGTAGAGCTCAGCGGTTTGACCAGTTCTCCCAGTAAACAACATGTAAATGTAACAACATATGCAAATGTAATATGTAAATCAAGCAGCTGTCATGAAGATCTCTCTGTCCAGCCAGTGCCCCGCCCCCTCTCAGACTAAAGCCCAGCATAAGCACTTATTCAACTGACCACAAATATGGGTGATTAAACTAAATGACTGTCACATACTACTGTCATCGTTGAGATTATTATTACTTACTATTATTATTGGATTTATTATTAAAATTATTATAGACATGATTATCGACTACTATTGAAATTGTTATTAAAATATTACGGAAATTATTAGTGACATTATTTAGGTTATTATTGGGATTAATACTAAATTTCTTTATTCAGATTATTATTGACATGAATATTTAGATGATCATTATTATTATTATTATTATTATTATTAACGTTGAGATTATTGTTGAGATTCAAGACAGCAGTCACAAAGCTGAACAGGATCAAAGGAAAAGCAGATCCATTTCTGAAGGTCTCTCAGTTTTATTGTTAGATTTTATCATCTGTACTTTTTTATTAAATAATGTTATTTATCTGTTTTGTTCAAGGTTTATTTGTACTGTAGGTACATTTTTTGTTCATTAAACTACAAACACTTGTATTAGAGATGCACTAATACCACTTTTTCCTTTCCGATAACGATACCTGATCCTTTAGTATCGGCCGATACTGAGTACAGATACTGATACTAACTCTATCTGACCTAACTGATGGCATTTACTTGTTGGATTATATTTATCAGATTTATCAAAACTTCTTTTTGTTTATTTACTGTATATATTTAATATTTTGTATCATGTAATTAGTAATAAGAACCATTTTTAACAACTTAAGTAAACGTAAAATATCTTGATTGTGAAAAACAGTTAAAAACGGAACTGAACGGTGAACAGATGAGCCTGTGCAGCTGCTCTGTCTCGAAAACGAAGCATCCAAATTTCAAATATCACCATCATTCACGCTGTCAGTATCAGCATCTCTCAGTGTTTTTCTGGCTGGTTGAAGCGACAGGCCCTTAGCAAGACCCCACCGCTGAGTGGTACAGCTGACCACACCACAGGTGCGGCTAATGGACACACAGGCCTGGCTAGCAGGCTGCTATACTAAAGGCTAAATCGAGACTAAAGGCTGTCATTACACCGAGAGTCCGGCGGTTTCTTCCTCTCTCTCAGTAACGTTAACTCAGGCTGTGAGTGACCACACAGTGGCAGACAAGTGATTACTGAAAGAAGCTGATCAGCCGTTCAGGTAAGCGGCTCCGTAGCGTGTTCATAACACCAAAAACTGCCGTTACAGATTCTGTCATGAGAGTTTTTACTGCCACGTCATACATCAGTGCACATGCATACATCAGAAATTGCTTTGTGGTGTCAGTCATAGGTATCAGCATCCCATCACCAATACAGATATTGAGTTTAAGTGCCAATATCAGCGCCGATACCGATACAGTATTGATATCAGTGAAACACTGATTTATACCTTTTCATATCCTGATGTTTTAAAACAGGACAATAAAATACAAGCCTGTAGTCAGACAGGGTGTGTTTTATTTTGAAGTGATTGTCAGGTCAGTGATGAAAACAGACAGTGGAAGTGGGCGGGGCCATAAGGTGGTCTAAAACAGCTCTGGTGTGTCTTTATTATTGGACTGAAATCAACCTGAAATGAATGGAAGTGAATGGAGAGCTTCTCTCAGATGGTCCACTTCTGCATAAACAGCTGACCTCTGGTGGCAGTGGAGGAGAAAAGCTGGGGGTCTGCTAATATCAGGTTTAGAGGAGACCACCTGTTACTGTCCTGCCAATATGGATTATAAACACATAAATAAATTAAGCTTTTAAAAGCCCCAATTCAGTACACAACTTACATACACACAGTAAATTTCATACAGAACCAAAATATTATTCATGGTTTGTACTGCAGCCAACAAAGCTTTATTTCCTAGACAAAGCATAAGAAGAACATGATTCAAATATAACATTATAGAGCTGCCTTTTTACATTAAGGCCTAAACATGTAGACAAATTCAGCAATAAGAGTAATAGCAGAAATTAAAATTATGAAAATGTATAGTAATAAACTCATGCATGTACACTAATGTGACCAGCAGGTGCCGCCAGCGTGCAGTGATTCGAGGGCTTCAAAACAAAGAATCATTTTTCGAATCAGTTGGTTCACTTGGTTCCAAGAATTCTAGAGTGTGTTGCTGTATTCAGGGGTAGTTAACAGAGCCTTCAGAGTCACTGTTTAAGACACTCTTTAAGACAATAAAGCGCATGAATAAAAGATAGAACTAAACTACAACAAGAGCTCATATAAAGCTTCTACATTACAGTCCTGCAGAAGAACAGCAGATAAATATCAGAAAGCAAGAGACTGATCAGTGAGGATCTCTCAGGTTTTCTGGTCACTGGTGGAGGATGACCGGCTCTCCTCTTCTGGACTGTGTTTGGAGTTCGTCCTTCATTCACTTCATCTGGAGCTGCTGATTCTCTCCTCAGCTGCCAAGTCTACACCACTGATACCACAATCACAGCTACAAGAGCAGCCATCATCAGTGCAAAGCTCCACTCTGGTCCAGCAGCTCCTCTACCTCCTTCTGCCAGGTTATCTACAAAACAGACACACACAGGGATTTGAACGCCATCATTAAAGTCCAGCAGCAGAGCATATAATAACATACGACTTGATTCACTGTGGAAGTGAATCACCTAGATCTGTGTTCCCCGCTGTGTCCCTTTTGGCCATTATAGCGTGAGCTCCACCCTCTGAACCTGTACTGTTATAGATCACCTGTATCTCCTCTGATACGTCCAAATCCAGGAGCAGAGGTTCACCAGGCTTTATCTGGACTGCAGTGTTCAGGGCTGAGGAGAAAAACAAGAGCTTCATTAGTCACAGCATCAGACACTGAAGTACACGCCTGATTACTAGACACTAAGGTGGACACAACTATGGTGATTTTGCCCTTGTGTTCTGATTGTGCATTAGGAGTCTCATGGAAAAAGCTAGTAAAGCTTGTGTTTGCTTGCAGGTGTGTTTTTGTTGTAGCTCTTTTCTGAAAATCTACTGCTCCTAAACGCCACACACAAACAACACTTTTTGATTGGTTACTGTCAGTCAAATTTGGTTTTTGTGCTTTTGGCTTTTGGTTCTTGGTTACATTAAGCTACAAAACCTCCAAGACTGTTTGACTTTACAGGGAAGTCTGGCTTCTGAGACTAGAACCTCATCAGCTCTGTCCACATCTGATATAAAGGTCTGCAGAAGAATGAAAGTCTTTAATAAGATGACAAAATAGTGTCAGTGCAGTTCTTACCAGTAGTGAATGTAGAGAAGAAGATGATTTTCAAAATCCAGTACATCAAAAAAATCTGGTTCACAAACCGAACTGAAGGTAAAATACAATAAAGCCTTTCGTAAGATGATAAAGTAGTGTCAGTGCAGTTCTTACCAGTAGTGAATGTAGAGATCAGTAAGATCAGGATACAGAGAGCAGAACTGCAGGACTGCATGACTGACCTACAGACACACACACACACCATCAGTACTGACCAGGAGAGGACAGGAGAGTCCACTGAGGTGGAAGCCCTCAAAAAAAGTCACTCAGATTCTTGAAAGTGAAGCACTGCCGAACATCAAGACCCAAGAACACAAGCAGTGGGAATTATAACAAGGATAATATTCTCATTACAGTGTGCACAATCACCGCCTTAATATTGGAAACTACTGCACAAAATACATCATATCAACTGACAGCATCTCAAATGTAGTCGATGTGTGTAATATTTCTCATTATTAGAGTGAGAATATTATAAGTTTAGCATGAATCAGCTAGCAAAGTCATCTGGCCCAGTTCTGACTCTGGCACAGTTAGCAGAGAGTCAGAAACAGTCTGGCGGTTCTCGGTTCTGCCCTGGCTGGGCTTGGTTCAGGGTCAGTACTGTGTACTGATAACTCCAGCATCAAAACAGCAAAGGCTAACAGGTTTAACAGGCCGGTATATTTGGCCCAAATCTGGGCAGACATTCAAAAAGAGTCAGAGCTGACACGGCTGCCAGAGGTGGACCAGTTGTGGTACGCTCAGATGGCAGGAACTGGGCCAGAAGTGGGTCAGCGTTTCATGGCTAGTTGGGAGGTCAGGATTTGCTTAACTGGACACATTCGTTTCTTCACAGAATACACATAAACTCTAGTCCACTGATTATTAATCAAGACTCACTTTACTTCCATGTCTGTTTCTTTGATAAGCTGGACAGACAGTGGACAGATGCAGTATGGACAGAGCGCATATTACAGTGTTAACAGATTAATTTTATCTGCTTTAAGATTATAATTGGGTGCACACATAATCTGGTGTACTTAGGTGTGTATTCTAGTTTGACAGGAAAACCAGAGACCACCAGAGTGACCATCGTTAAACCACATTTCTGCTATATCATCCATGTCATATTTAGACAGTGAAACATCATCATTTCAGCTCTACTGAATCAGATCAGTGCAGTAAATGAAGAGTAAATAATAACTCACAGTGACCAGAGCTGGCAGGAAGTGAAGGTCAGTGTGCAGGTCACTCTGTCCAGATGATAAAGATGAGTTTCAGTGAGTTTCCTCAGTAAATGTGACTCTGTTGCTGAGTCTGATCACAGGTCGTGGTGCAGGTTCTGTGTCTCCTATCATATTTTATCCTGACTCTCTGTCGTATCAGATTGTCCAGTAAACACACTGTGCTCAGATAATACATGTAAATACATGTAAATTAACCAGCTTCCTTTACTTCCTCAGAACTGACACAGATATTTGATCCACAGAACGCTGCAGAGGGTCATCACTGTAAATAGGGTTTAATAAACGTCAGCCAGTAGTGTCTGGGGGTCCCTGAGGACCAGTTTGACAATCACAACTGTAGAGGTTCTGTAGATAAAGAGCAGCTTGGGAGTTCAGACCATTCCTTCAGCATGGTGGCGGTAGTATGAGGGAAGACTGACTGAGGGAGGAAGAATGAATTGTGAAATCTGTTTATGTATAACTGAGCGTCCGCAAACCTTAACAATTATAAAAAAAATATAAATACCTATGAATAAGTATGATTATGCAGATTGTGAACAACCCCTTTCCTCACAGTTTTCAAATCCCACCCCTTCCCCTCACCCCCACACACAATGCTTTTACCCTTGGTGAGTGGAAAATACAGTTCTTTCTTTTTCATTAAAGAGATGAGACGGAATACAAAGTTCTTTATTACAAATGAAGTTATTAGCATAACAATGTGAGTGAAAAGTAGAATCTTTGAAATTCTAACACAAATTACAGAACTTCTCAGTATTTGCTGGTGTGTCCCCCTTTTGCGTTAATGACAGTGTGCACTTGAGCTGCATGAGCTCCACGGGTTTGTGTAAAAGCCTCTGATCAGCAGATCAAATCCACCTCAAAGTCGTCTGAACGTGAGTTTCACTGGATGAGATCAGACTAAAACAATCTGACCTTTCAATACAAAACCATGCATTTATTGTGGTTTCATGTGGTCTCAGGCTTTTAGGATCCACTGTACATTTACAATTGATGAGACGAAACAGACATTTTTACTACTTTACTTTAGAACTGCTTTAGTTTAAACACAGGGTAGAGTAGATTTGTAAAACACTATTTTCTGTTTTTATTTGGATTGTAGCTCCAATGCTAATTTTGGCATCTCCAATATTTTCTGTCTGGAGATGTATTAAAATTTGAGGGGAAAAATTCTGGCTTAAAAACGTTTTGCTAAATAATCATGCAAAGAGTATTTTAAGTAACCTGTGGTGCTTTAGAGTGAGAAGGTGAAGTGCATGGATAGAAGAAGCCTCAGGTGAGACTGCTGGATATATTAAACTAAATGGTCTCAATAGGCAGACAAACGAGACGCTCACGGAAGTAATATAATTGGGTTTTATTAACAAAAGTGTTAACCAAACAGGTTGTCAATAAGCCAGGCCAGGCCAGGACAGAGCCATAAACAGGTACATGAGGAACCAGAGATCAAGGTACATAAGCAAGCAAGGGTCAAAGGCCAGAGAAGGTCCAAAGGAGAATCCAGAAGAGTAAACGAGGGACAGAAAGGGTCAAAGGGTCACAGGAAGCATAAACAGAAAAACCGCTCAAAGGACAGGTCTAATGGCAATACTTCACAAAGAGTTTCTAATATAAACAGGTATATATACAAACAGGGATAATGAGCACAGGTGAAAGCAGTTCGAACTCAGGGGAAGAAGATCTGTGTAGCTGATTGTGATTAGTTGGTCTGGCAGAACCAGATGAATCATGGGAGTTGGAGTTTACAGGTAGGTCGGAGACTTCGGAGGAACCGGGTAGCCTGACAGTTGAATAAAGCTTCTACATGAAAGCTCTGTAGAAGAAGTGCAAACGCTGCAGGACTGTCCACACTGATACCCATAAACACCCCAGAACTCTGGCAGAGGAAATGAGAGAGAGCAGAAGAAAGAAAGAACAAAACAGACAGAAATAATACATGGAAGCAAGAGATTTAATAGTAATGATGAGTTTTATTACTGGGAGATGACAGTCTCTTTTATTCTGGACTGTAGTTAAAGTGCCCATTCAGTTAAGTTCCTTACATTCAGTGGAGCTTATTTCCTCATCCACATTTCTTCATCCACACGATCACCACCACTAACACCACAATCACAGCAACTGCCAGTGCAAAAACCCACACTGGTACAGTAGCTCCTTTATCTGTGCCTGGATCTCCATCTACAAAACACACACAGGTTTGTAATACAGTGAGTTTTACTTGAACACCATCATTAAAACTCAGCAGCAGATTCCTGCTCAGTGAATTCTGATGACATAAACAGAGGTTATGTAATAACATACCATTTAACCCTTACAACCCTACGATAATATGGTGTTATAGTTTTGCTATTTGGACAGTAACAGCAACAATTACAATTATACAGTATTTACATGAGACAGTCACACATGCTATATGTTGTTATTTCCAGAAAACACTGAGCTACTCAGATATGTCACTGTTTGATATGTAAACCCAAACAGAATTTGAATATCTTTATAAATTTGACATTTATCTGATCAAAATATTAAGTTTGTACCTCCTAAATTTAAAATGTTTTTATATGTACAGACTGTCTACACAGCTCAGCTCAGATGCCTTTTAATATCTAATTAGACTAAAGTGTCTGTGAGCTGAAAACACAGTAACTTTCATGGTAGTTCATTCTATTGCTTATTAATGAGAAATATAATTAATAATATTAGTTGGACATGATTTTTATTGATTTTCTGTCCTGTTCGATCCATACTGAGTACTAAACCTTAAGACAGGCCTTAGAATGTTTTCCTCAAAGCCAAGACCAGGACTTCAAAATTCTCAAATTATTTTTGAGTTTAATATTTAGAATTAGCTGGTTTTAACAAATTAAAGTAAAGTAAATTAACATATAAAGCTCAATAATATTATTACTATGGGTTTATGTACTATTATTTTGCATATTTATATAATTGTTGGTTTCTGATCACTTTCATTTTGAGTTATAGTTGTTGAATTGGAACTGGTCCAGACTTGCTTATTGGAGCACAGCCCTCTGTTACGTGATGCACACCCCCCCCCCACTCTCTCATAGACATGTAAACACAGATGTATATCCTGAGAGCACTGCTTGAGTAAACCCTCATATAAAGGAACTTTGTAATCCAATCAGCATCAAAACAAAGATTTACACCCTTCTTGACCTTCTTACATTGTAAGTAGTTGCAGCATTGTTTGGCGCTGATCTCTGCTCGGCTAATGCGCGCTCCCGAGGAACTGATTCATGAAGAACAGCGTGAATTTGAGGGGGAACTGAATCAGATGCAACAACACACAGTACAAGATTTATACAGAGCATATGAACAGAAATACAATGAGCGGTTATGTAACATGGATTTTGGGTCTGTTCTGAGCAGAATTGCTCATTGATGCTTCACTGCAGCTGGATGAAATCACTCTGGCTAGAGTGGGTCAGTCCTGCTGATAGCTGTGATTGTTTATGATGTATCTGTGTTAACCCGCTGTTGAGTGGTGAAGCCTAACTGCAGAACTAGAGACGGCGAGTTCTGCTGATTATTGTGAATAGTATATCATGTCTGTAACTTAAACTGCTCCAAAGTTATGCCAGCTAGAAGACAGCCATGCGCACAGCCCGCAGAACGCGGACTTTGGGTTCTACAGGTTATTTCAGGCTCCATGGTCACTGTGTAGATGTGAATGACTACTTTTTTCTCTTTCTCCACTATAGAATATTCTCCACTGTCAGATGGAGTCGTGTTTCTCAGCTCAAGAACAGATGGAAGAGCAGATGCTAGAAACACTCTCTGTGTGTATTCAGGTTTACACTGTAGTGAGCGTCCATCCACTGTACAGATCTGACCACTGGGATGTCCAGATGTGTCTGTGCTGTTATGAATGATCTCCACTGGGTCTGATATTTCTATCCTCAGGAATAAAGACTCCCCAGGCTTTATCTGAACTGTAGTACTCAAAGCTGAGGAGAAAAACAATCAGGAACTTCATTAGTCTCAGATGCTCCACCACCACTGTTTACACATCAGAGTTTATGCGCTACAATCAATCAGTCTGATGGGAAAACATTTTTGCTAGTACTGCATTGTGCCATAACAATTATGAGCAATTCAAAGTATAGATACAGTTGTACAGTCTGATTGAAATCAGACTGTACAACTGAGGCTGTGAGGCACTGATGCTGTAGGGCTGCGAGGCTGTGAGGCTACAACTCTGTCACAATGTGAGACTGCGACGCTGGGACACTGTGAGGCTGCGATGTTGTGAGGTGATGGCTCTCACGCCATGAACCTGCATGCTGTGAGGCTTTGAGGCTGTAGGGCTGTGAGGCTGTGAGGCTTTGAGGCTGCAACTCTTATAATGTGAGTGTAACCTCTATACATTATTTTGGTTATTTATTCATATGATTGGTTCATTCTAACCGAGCAGTAGGGTGCGCTATTGTATCATCAGCTGAGTTATACAAGGCTTCACCTAAGGAAGAGAGAGTCTCCATTTTCTAACATGTTGAGGGAAAAATGCTTTTTCAGTTAACTGGGAAGAAAAAGCACCGTTTAGCTGTGAAATACTGGAGTAATCAGCATGTTTTGAGTTATTTTTGCATTCAAAATGAAGAGCATCTTTTCTATTTCATCAAGCTTTCGAATGTACTTCTGAGTTTGTCCCAACTCCAGTGAGTTCACCTCCTTATGCTGCTTCTGTGGCTAATTCACAAGTTCATTTGTTAGCCTAAGTTCAGGTTAATGGAAGCTTAAAATTCAAAATCAGAGCTTTAATTTATTTTCCATTCGAGAATTTTCCTTTTACCAATTGCCTTTTATGTTGTGTGTTTTTGTTAGCTTTTGAATCCATAACTTTTACATCGCCAGTGCTATCTTGGCAAATATGCTAGTTAGGCCTATTAAGTACTTAAAAATACAGAATTCTAGTTGTACTCTTGGTAAACTGTTTATTACAGCTACAGTTTAATTAATGTAGATAAGTTTAAGTGAATAATTGTGGAACTTTGGATTGTTCTGGAAAGTAAGTGTAAAATCTTAATTAAGCTCGAATGCATTTGCAGTTGTGCACGTTTTATTCTGGCAGACTAAAGACTTACATATGATTTAAATACGTATTTGTTGTGGTGTAAAATAAATGTCACTGTTCATTTTCTTTAAGTCACTTATTATTGTGGGTGATTCAAACTTTTCCTGCAAGCCTAGGACAAGTATTACCATTCATTACTGAGCCCAAACACAGTAACTCATTCAAACGGGCTACATGAGGCTGCAAGGCTGTGACACTGTGAGGCTTCGATGATGTGAGGCTCCTATGCCATCAATACTGACCTAGGAGAGATCATTACTAATCCAGAAGGAGGTCATGTTACAGAATCATCTTAACTCTGAAATCTGTTTAGTCTCTCTGACGACTTTAGTCTGGACTGAATTTAGTTCAGTAGCTATTCCAGAATAACAGTTCATAACTTCATAATCTCATCATTAACTCCAGATAAAACAGTATCACACAAGCATCCTAACTAGACTAAACCTCCTAAACACCGTCCTAACTTCAGGATAAAGCATCTGTTTCTATTGTTTTTAGGGTATAGTGACAGGCAGCATAACAAGTTCACTAAAACTGGTGTTACATGTATTCATATTGCAGCATGGTGGTTTTTCACTGTGAGAGTTTTTTGAACCCCAGACACTGCAGACACGTTCTCCACCATTCCCTTTCATTACATTGGCCTGTTCTTAAGAACGTGATGAGTCAATATCAGAACAAAGGCAGGGAATGGATGTGGGTTTTGCTGGCTGAGGCAGTGAGAAAAACAGGGGCAGTAATGTCCATTGTGCTTTGATTCCCGCTCATACAAGAACAGACTCCTCTCTTTGTATGGAGGGAGAAATCTGCAAAACTGAAACTGAAAGATACTCAAACGCTTCAGAGGGAGGGAGGGAGTGGGAGTGGGAGAGGGAGAGGGAGAGAGAGAGAGTCTACAACACCGTAAGGCTGCAAGGCTGTAAATCTGGGAGGCTTTTGTTATTTTAAGCATAACTTGACTTCTTTTATTTTCCTGTTTTTGTTCTTGCTTTGGCGAAAAGTCAAAGCAGCATAAGGCCAGCCTAACTGTTGCTTCACTGCATCTGTTGTTTTTTTTGTTTTTTTTTGAAAATACATAAAATACAATAAAATCTACTTAATGTTTTTCAGAATATTGTCTGTTTATCTATCTTTTTTCTGCTGAGCATCTGAGTCTGTGTTCATCTCTGCTTTTCACTTTCCATTCATATCCTGAAGGATAAAATTTTATGTCTCGCCCACAGTTGTTCTCCGCCTGAGTATCCCGTATCACTGGAAAACGTCACAGAGTAAAACAAACGTGTTCTCTGATTTACTGCGACTTTAAGATGGTTTTTATCAACCTTCTTGCGTGTTTGTTGGACATTTTGTTTCATGCTGGGCAGTTTTTCTGGAAGCCCTGTTGGGAAAGTCTCCTGCCCCTACGCGTTACACAGAAACAGAAACCCCAGCACCTACATGGTCATTAAAGAAAACAGCAACTCTTACGCTCAGTCTGTACAGACACATCACAGATGTTGTGGCTCTCACACTTGCAGGTGTACCAGGTTCTCTGACTGAACACAGCATCACTGATGGTGAGAGAGAGATTCCCCTTCAGGTACTGATCATGGATCATCTGATTTCCCTCCTTCACTGATCTACATGAAGTCTGATCACACTCAGCCAGAACATCATCAGGGTTACCGAGTGCAGTCCATCTGCCCCAAACAGAACATCTCCCATAACAGGGGAGAACAGCAGAGTCATGAAGCTTCACCTTCACTGAAGTAAAGCATGATTCAGACACTAAAAGAGGGAATAAAATGAAGAAATTAAAAGAAACAAACTGATTTTTAGAAACACAGCTTGTTAGAGGAGCACCAAGAAGATGATTTTCAAAATCCAGTACATCAAAAAAAAATCTGGTTCACAAACCAAACTGAAGGTAAAATACAATAAAGCCTTTCATAAGATGATAAAGTAGTGTCAGAGCAGTTCTTACGAGTAGTGAATGTAGAGATCAGGATCAGGATACAGAGAGCAGAACTGCAGGACTGCATGACTGACCTACAGACACACACACACCATCAGTACTGACCAGGAGAGGAGAGAGAGAAGAGAGAAAGAGAGAACAGAACTGACCTACAGACACACAGACACACACACACACACCATCAGTACTGACCAGGAGAGACTAATCCAGAAGAACAAATATATGTGATGTGATATAGAAACTTCTTAACTCTGAAATATGATGTTTAGTCTCCGTGACGACTTCAGTCTGGACTGAACTTAGTTCAGCATTTATTCCAGAATAACAGTTCCTACCTTCATAATCTCATCATTAACTCCAGATAAGAAAACAGCATCACACAAACATCCCTAACTAGACTAAACCTCCTAAATCCTGTCCTAACTTTAGGACAAACCCCAACGGGGTCCTAACTTCTGTTTAAGGTCCGTTTCTATGGTTTTTAGGCTTTGTGTCTGGTGGCATAACAAGTTCTCTGTAATTGCGGTTCTCTATTCATGTTACAACACAGTGGTTTCACTGTGGGATTAACTTCTTGAAAACCTGCCAAATAAGTATCAGAATTTGTATCAGAATAAGTATCAGTTATGAATCAGGACCCAAACCTGGATGGTAGGAAACACACTCCCAAACACGGTAGATAAAACGTTTCTGTTATCAGGACATCAGAGAGGAGACGTGCAGAAGAGCTGGTTAATGTGGAGCCGTGTAAAGGACTTTAATGATGGATTAACTGGGGAAACGTCTCTGTTTCTGACTTCATTTCTCTTTCTGCTGCAGCAGTTTCTTCTTTTGCTTGTTTTTAATGACTTTGTCAATCTGACTCATTCCACATATCTGAATCACTGCACGTTTGATTGTGTAAATCCTCATTTTATATGAAAAAGTAGCAACTGCACATTTTACAGGTTAATTAAAGGAAATCTGAGGGATGAAATCCCAAAACAAACCTGAGCCCCGAATCTGTACATACGTTCCCAACCAACACCCCTGATTTTACCCAACACGGCCCACAGCTGTAACCAACACTCCACACTGTCCACCAACACAGAGCAGTTTAAGAACTAAAACCAGATCCCACCAGAGTGACCATCGATGGACAGCATTTTTTTCATTTTTAAACCCTTTCATATTTAGCCAGAAAATCATCATCGTTTCAGCGCTGCTGAATCAGATCAGCGCAGTAAAGGAAGAGTAAATATTTACTCACAGTGACCAAAGCTGGCAGGAAGTGAAGGTCAGTGTGCAGATCACTCTGTCCAGATGGTAAAGATGAGATTCAGTGAGTTTCCTCAGTAAAACACGACTCTGGTGTTGGATTTTGAGTAAACTACCTTATTATATAGATCACATGTCTCCACCCCTCTTTTACTCACTCCAAGCTGGGGAGGGGAGCTGAGGGGTGGAGTCCAGCACAGTCCGGTCATTTCTCTGCTCTACCACACCAAATAAACCTGCTAATTAACTGCTGAGTTAAATCAGGTGTGCTTTAGAAGGAAAATCACCAAACTGTGCAGGAATCCAGCTGCTTCTTTCTGCCTCTTTCTGACCCCTACCTGTGATGACCATGAGACTTGGATTGCTCCTACTAAGGCTACTCAGCACATTCAGCCTGCTTGCAGCTGCTTAAACCTCATTCGTTACCCTATAGAAATTTGAATTGGGATTATTATATAAAACACTGCTAGAAAAAACTGTTACTGATAAATCTGTGTCTATAAAATCTAACCAAAGATTTGACTTGAGAACATCACTGGTTGCTGCTAACAGACCCTCATTAACTGCTTTACACTTTATATTCACTTAGCAGAAAGCTAGCATGCTAACAGGCTAACGCTCCAATAATGAAAGACTTTGAGTTCAAAGCTTCACAGAAGGAGGTCCTTAAAAAAGAATACATACCAACTGAAGAAAACATTACTGTAATGCTTATTACAAGCTTAATATGTCTTTATTTAAACCAAAGCTAACCTTAATACCTAGCATAACACTGAGGTAGCCCTGTTAGCTTGATGCTAACAGACCATTCACTCAGCATTAGCACTGGTTTAAAAAATCAAGTCAACAGATTTCTACATTTAACTTTGTGGAAGGATATTTTGTTATGGTTTTATACCATTAAACAAAATCATAAAGTTGAAATTACTTTATTAGCCTGAGAAATTGGCGTAGGCTAGAAATAGCTTAGAATCCGCTGACTAAAGAGTTTCTCTCACGCAGCTCAGTCAATAGCATTTAGCATATTTAACACATATGGACTGTTTACTCTTCCCTGCATGTTCTGACTTTAAGTTCTTTAAGTTAAAACTGTGAATGAATGTTTACAGTGTACATAAAAATCACTCATCTGAAAAGCAGCCCATCCTGAGCTCCATACTGTACATAAGGAAAGTACTGAAGTTTCAGTACTTTATTGCCATTTCAGTCAGTACTTGACTAAGAGGAATTTCTTTGTGTTGCTCAAACATTCATAATCTCAATAAAGTAACAAACATTAAAATAAATTAAAATAAACAAGGTTGAGATTGTGGAGTGGAGTGTATTCAGTCTGATAGCGGAAGGGTAGGTGCTACTAGTGGTTGGTGTAGTGTAGGGGGTAACACCTCTGCCTTCTACACTGTAGACTGGGGTTCAAGCCCCACCTTGGTAAACACCCTACACTATACCAATAAGAGTCTTTGGGCAAGATTCCTAACACTACCTTCGCCTACCTGTGTAAAATGGTCCAATTGTAAGTCGCTCTGGATAAGAGCGTCTTTCAAATGCTGTAAATGTAAACTGAGATCTACATAAGAAGCTTTGGAATCGGGAAGGGAGCTTTTTAAAAGCTACTGTCTGTACAGATGTTTTAATCTGTTCTTTTACGTCCTTTTGGCTTATATAGAAGCAACAGGTGGAAATTCACAACCAATGATATTGGAGGCAGTGCGCACCACTTTCTCCAGCTGCTCTCTCTCATGAGCTGTTGTACCACCATACTGGACACATATGGAGGAGGTCAACACACTTTCCACAGTAGCTCTATAAAAGACCACCACCAAATTCCTTAAATTGTCTTATAAAGAAAAGCCTTTGGGGTCTGAGCTGATAGTCGTCCCCAGGAACCTAAAGGAGGCAGCCCTCTCCACCTCACCACCAGTGGTGGACAGTAATGAAGTAAATGTAATTCGTTACTGTACTTAAGTAGTTTTTTTGTGTATCTGTACTTTACTGAAGTTTTTCCATTTTGGGTGACTTTTTACTTTCACTCCACTACATTTCAGAGTCAGATATCTCACTTTTTACTCCACTACATTGACAAATCTGTCGTTCATTTTGGTTTATGTGTGTATAAAAACGTAACATGTCAAAACAAAAGAAGCGCAAAGTAAGAACACCAATCAGGGCACAGCGCACACTTAATTTTGAGCTTATTTTGACCTGTTGGTCATACCGACCCAGTGCAGCACACGGTTCAACATCAGTGCAGCAGCGTAAAATTTTGGGAGAGTCTATTCAACATAAATGATGAACTAACCTAACTTTGTGTAAACAGACCACAATATAGAAATATGTACTCATATGCAGTTGTGACTGACGTGTCTTTATTCTGAATTTATACAAACACATTTCATTTTATAGTAAATTAGTTTTGCTCCTACAGATGCAGTTTAGTAAAGGAAACTCATTTGTGAATCTGAGTCTGTTCATTGACAGAATCAGAATCTGGTATACAAGAAACGTAACAGCAAGATAAAACACATCCCTGGGGAGCACCAGTACTGAGAGGAAGAGAGGAAGCCATACTGTTCACCAAACCTCTAAATCTGATCAAAGAGCCTTAAAGTTTGCCTGGTCTCCTGTAGGGCTGCAGAGCTCTAACAGTGTTTATCTGGACACACAATGACCCAGATAACATATTGTATAACAGTCTTATATTTATAATATTGTCTGTAGTTTGGTTTTACACAGCTATAGTTTTCCTGAATGACTGTTTATCTTCTAAAATACATACAAACTGCAGATAAAATGTTCCTCTTGGAGCAGGACATGGGGATTTTTGCGCTGTTGGGAAAACACCTCTGTTTCTGACCCATATTTTCACTTTCTGTTGGAGGGCTTTCTTATGTTCTTACTTTTAGTTGATGTCTAAATTTCCACATTTTATAAAAAAAATCTAAAACAAGTCTGGGGGACAAAATCCCCAAACAGTCCTAGAGTGAACTGGGCTGACCCCTAGATCTGTATATGCCCAGCCAATGTCCTGCTTTTACCCAATACAGTCCACAGTTTTAGGACTAAACCAGATCCCAAGAGAGCAAACATTACTAAACCATCTATTTTATATTCAGACAGTAACGCATCATAATTTCAGCTCTACTGAATCAGATCAGTGCAGTAAATGAAGAGTACATAATAACTCACAGTGACCAAAGCTGGCAGGAAGTGAGGGTCAGTGTTCAGGTCACTCTGTCCAGATGATAAAGATGAGTTTCAGTGAGTTTCCTCAGTAAATGTGACTCTGTCGTTGGAGTCTGATCACAGGTGGTAGTGCAGGTTTAACAGTGAATCTGCATTCTGGAGGTTTGTAGGAGTGAACAACTATGATTTAACCAGTTTTCCCTGAAAGTGTTCAGTTAATACAAGTTAAACGTGAAAATTCTTCTCTTCTGACCAAAGCTGAGACTTACATGGAGACAGTGTTGACCAGTGTTTAGATAGTTTATGTTTTAAAATCCAACAGGCCAAAAGTAAAATATACATCATCATAACTGGAGACAATATAAAAAATGGTAAAAATAAATGAATAAAATAAGATGAAGGTTGTGTCTTAAACTGAAGGCAGCTGTCTGGATGTCAAGCTGTTAAGCCACTGATTAGTCACTGGTTGGTGGACTATTCTCAGTCCAGCAGTGACACTGAGGTGTTTATAAAACTAGCAGCACTGCTGTGTCTGATCCACTCACACCAGCACAACACACACTAACACACCACCACGTCAGTGTCACTGCAGTGCTGAGAATGATCCACCACCCAAACAGTACCTGCTCTGTGAGGGTCCATGGGGGTCCTGACCACTGAAGAACAGGGTAAAAGGGTATGCAGAGAAACAGATGGACTACAGTCTGTAATTGTAGAACTACAAAGTGAAACCATATGGTCAGTTGAGCTGATAAAGTGGACAGTAAGTGTAAACACAGGGTAGGTGTACCTAAGTTTAATATTCTATAATATTCATTTGTGGGTCTAAAATCACGCTCTCCACACTGAATGTATCTGAAAGACAAAGGCTGCTCCAAAAAAGTCACAAACACATTTGAATCTCTCTCTCTGTCTCGTTATATACAGTCAACAATTTATTTCCAACACTACACTACACTGATACTGCATAGAGACTCATCAGACCAAGCTACATTTTCTAGTCTTCAACTGTCCAGTTTTGGTGAGCCTGTGCCCAATACAGCCTCAGCTATCTGCTGTTGGTGACAGAAGTGGAACCCAACATGGTCTTCTGCTGTTGTAGCCCATCCACCACAAGGTTCGATGTTCTGTGCATCCTGAGTTGCTTTTCTGATGACTATTAATTATATAGAGTTATTATCTGAATTAACATAGCCTTTCTGTCAGCTCAAACCAGTCTGGCCATTCTCCACTGACCTCTCATCAACAAGGCACAGAACTGACACTCATTGGAGGTTTTTCTTTATTGCAGAGTGAACTCTAGAAAATACTCCAACTGAGCTTCTATAACAGAGCTAGAACTCTTCACTTGTCTGTATAAATTAACTGAGTTTCTTGCTTTTTATGGCTTCCGATTAGTGAAATAAATTCAGTAGGAAATACTAATAAAGTACGAAATGCTAATGAAGTAGGAAAGATTCAAGCAGTTCTGTGCAGAAGTCAGAGCACCCATTCGTTTATTTCATCAGTAGTTAAAAGGACAGTAAGCACAAGTGTAAAAGCTTTGTGTATTACAGGAAATTACACAGATGTGCATTAAATGGAAGAGAATCTAAACTGAATCACTGAGTCAATGTTGTTTACACATAATTATCGTACCATTATCACTGCTTAACCCCATTACATTAATTTACAATCCTATCATTTTTATCCTGTTTTATCTATAATATTGATCACTGTAAGAATCAGACACACTGCATACCAGAAAGTACATGATACAAATCCAGTTACAGTGTTTTTCAATCACTAAACACAAATTAAAACACATTCTCCCAAACTCCTTTCACATTAATAATAATAATAATCCAATATTATTTATTCATACAGTATTTCTCATGCAGTTGCAGCTCTACAGTGTTTTACAGACAGATGATAATGTTTAACAGTAATACAAGAAACAACGAGTGTTATGATTATCCTGCAGATCTAAGATCATAAACAGACATTCAGGAGCTTTAAGGTCATTTAGGTCTGTAAAAAACAGCAGCAG